TGAAACCAAAACATTGCGCTTCTGCAACCCTGATACAAAAAACTTTAAAAAATGAACCTAAACACGGTCCCAAAAATGGGACCGCCTGGCGGTCCCATTTTTGGGACCACATGCACAGCTTAGTAAAAGAACAAAAGAAAAGTACTTTCACGGTCCCATTTTTGGGACCGTCTGGCGGTACCAAAAATGAGACCGCAAAATCGCAAAATCCACAGCGAAGGCCGACCAGTGCAACACAAAAAATTAGAACTGCGTTTATTTAAGCAACCAGCATATAGAGTTGGAACAGTTGCCTGTCCGGTCGCCATAAGCCGCAAAGTTTCATTGAAACCAAAACATTGCGCTTCTGCAACCCTGATACAAAAAAACTTTAAAAAATGAACCTAAACACGGTCCCAAAAATGGGACCGCCTAGCGGTCCCATTTTTGGGACCACATGCACGGCTTAGTAAAAGAACAAAAGAAAAGTACTTTCACGGTCCCATTTTTGGGACCGTCTGGCGGTACCAAAAATGAGACCGCAAAATCGCAAAATCCACAACAAAGGCCGACCAGCGCAACACAAAAAATTAGAACTGCGTTTATTTAAGCAACCAGCATATAGAGTTGGAACAGAAGAGGCCCGCACATGCGAAGCCTGATTTCAATTGACTTTCCGACCCCAGAAATGGAACCTGAAAGCGCACATGTGGTATCAGCTGTCTCCGTTCCCTAGCTCCAATGTGGCGATTTGCGATGCAGCACCACCCAGGCAACATTCACCAATCCTTCGCTACTCCGCGCTACTCCGCTACTATGTTTTTATTCAATTACCCAATGTAATTGACACGATATCGAAACGATGGCGGAGTAAGAAAGCCTTCAATACGTCACCTTGCCACATGTTTTCCTAAGCAGATTCCTACTCCATCCCGTTTTAAGTTTATACTATTAATTAATAACGGGATTGACTAAAAAGATCATGATTCATGTTCTTCCTGGGCTGAAAACTTCGGTAGGAGTCTAGAGGGGCACGGGGGGCCAACAAGGGGCAGTAAAGGATTCAATCAATCATTCAAATGGAAGCCGGCCACCTGCGCGAAAACCCACAAACTCCTCAACAGCAAGAAACACTTTCAAGCAATCACCTAAGGGCTGCAAAAGGCAGATGGGCATTCTTTTAACGGCAAACAATCAAGCCACCAGACGCAACGAAATAATAAGAAGCTAACTTAAAGTGGGTTCAAGCAGCAACCGATGTGCACCCCGCTTGCCCCAACAAGAATCAAAATCATCTACAAAACTGCTTGCTCTAACGGACCCAATTCTGGGTCCGGAAAACCTTCTCAAAACCGGCTTCGCTCCAAAGGGCTTCCCTAGTTGCCCGTCCGGTCGCCATAAGCCACAAAGTTTCATTGAAACCAAAACATTGCGCTTTCTGCAACCCTGATACAAAAAACTTTAAAAAATGAACCTAAACACGGTCCCAAAAATGGGACCGCCTGGCGGTCCCATTTTTGGGACCACATGCACAGCTTAGTAAAAGAACAAAAGAAAAGCACTTTCACGGTCCCATTTTTGGGACCGTCTGGCGGTACCAAAAATGAGACCGCAAAATCGCAAAATCCACAGCAAAGGCCGACCCGTGCAACAAACAAAAAATTACAACTGCATTTATTTAAGCAACCAGCATATAGAGTTGGCACAGAGGAGGCCCGCACATGCGAAGCCTGATTTCACTTGACTTTCCGGCCCCAGAAATGGAACCTGAAAGCGCACATGTGGTATCAGCTGTCTCCGTTCCCTAGCTCCAATGTGGCGATTTGCGATGCAGCACCACCCAGGCAACATTCACCAATCCTTCGCTACTCCGCGCTACTCCGCTACTCCGTGCTATGTTTTAATTCAATTACCCAATGTAATTGACAGGATATCGAATCGATGGCGGAGAAAGAAAGCCTTCAATACGTCACCTTGCCACATTTCCCAAGCAGATTCCTACTCCATCCCGTTTTAAATTTAGACTAATTGATAACGGGATTGACTGAAAAGATCGTGATTCATGTTCTTTCTGGGCTGAAAACTTCGGTAGGAGTCTAGAGGGGCAAGGGGGGCCAACAAGGGGCAGTAAAGTATTCAATACAATCATTCAAATGGAAGCCGGCCACCTGCGCGAAAACCCACAAACTCCTCAACAGCAAGAAACACTTCAAGCAATCACCTAAGGGCTGCAAAAGGCTGATGGGCCTTCTTTTAGCAGCAAACAATCAAGCCACCAGACGCAACGAAATAATAAGAAGCTAACTTCAAGTGGGTTCAAGCAGCAACCGATATGCACCCCGCTTGCCCCAACAAGAAGCAAAATCATCTACAAAACAGCTTGCTCCGACGGACCCAATTCTGGGTCCGGAAAACCTTCTCAAAACCGGCTTCGCTCAAAAGGGCCTCCCTAGTTGCCTGTCCGGTCGCCATAAGCCGCAAAGTTTCATTGAAACCAAAACATTGCGCTTCTGCAACCCTGATACAAAAAAACTTTAAAAAATGAACCTAAACACGGTCCCAAAAATGGGACCGCCTAGCGGTCCCATTTTTGGGACCACATGCACGGCTTAGTAAAAGAACAAAAGAAAAGTACTTTCACGGTCCCATTTTTGGGACCGTCTGGCGGTACCAAAAATGAGACCGCAAAATCGCAAAATCCACAACAAAGGCCGACCAGTGCAACACAAAAAATTAGAACTGCGTTTATTTAAGCAACCAGCATATAGAGTTGGAACAGAAGAGGCCCGCACATGCGAAGCCTGATTTCAATTGACTTTCCGACCCCAGAAATGGAACCTGAAAGCGCACATGTGGTATCAGCTGTCTCCGTTCCCTAGCTCCAATGTGGCGATTTGCGATGCAGCACCACCCAGGCAACATTCACCAATCCTTCGCTACTCCGCGCTACTCCGCTACTCCGTGCTATGTTTTAATTCAATTACCCAATGTAATTGACACGATATCGAAACGATGGCGGAGTAAGAAAGCCTTCAATACGTCACCTTGCCACATATTTTCCTAAGCAGATTCCTACTCCATCCCGTTTTAAATTTATACTATTAATTAATAACGGGATTGACTGAAAAGATCATGATTCATGTTCTTTCTGGGCTGAAAACTTCGGTAGGAGTCTAGAGGGGCAAGGGGGGCCAACAAGGGGCAGTAAAGTATTCAATACAATCATTCAAATGGAAGCCGGCCACCTGCGCGAAAACCCACAAACTCCTCAACAGCAAGAAACACTTCAAGCAATCACCTAAGGGCTGCAAAAGGCTGATGGGCCTTCTTTTAGCGGCAAACAATCAAGCCACCAGACGCAACGAAATAATAGGAAGCTAACTTCAAGTGGGTTCAAGCAGCAACCGATATGCACCCCGCTTGCCCCAACAAGAAGCAAAATCATCTACAAAACTGCTTGCTCCGACGGACCCAATTCTGGGTCCGGAAAACCTTCTCAAAACCGGCTTCGCTCAAAAGGGCCTCCCTAGTTGCCTGTCCGGTCGCCATAAGCCGCAAAGTTTCATTGAAACCAAAACATTGCGCTTCTGCAACCCTGATACAAAAAAACTTTAAAAAATGAACCTAAACACGGTCCCAAAAATGGGACCGCCTAGCGGTCCCATTTTTGGGACCACATGCACGGCTTAGTAAAAGAACAAAAGAAAAGTACTTTCACGGTCCCATTTTTGGGACCGTCTGGCGGTACCAAAAATGAGACCGCAAAATCGCAAAATCCACAGCAAAGGCCGACCAGTGCAACACAAAAAATTAGAACTGCGTTTATTTAAGCAACCAGCATATAGAGTTGGAACAGAAGAGGCCCGCACATGCGAAGCCTGATTTCAATTGACTTTCCGACCCCAGAAATGGAACCTGAAAGCGCACATGTGGTATCAGCTGTCTCCGTTCCCTAGCTCCAATGTGGCGATTTGCGATGCAGCACCACCCAGGCAACATTCACCAATCCTTCGCTACTCCGCGCTACTCCGCTACTCCGTGCTATGTTTTAATTCAATTACCCAATGTAATTGACACGATATCGAAACGATGGCGGAGTAAGAAAGCCTTCAATACGTCACCCTGCCACATATTTTCCTAAGCAGATTCCTACTCCATCCCGTTTTAAATTAATACTATTAATTAATAACGGGATTGACTGAAAAGATCATGATTCATGTTCTTTCTGAGCTGAAAACTTCGGTTCTAGAGGGGCAAGGGGGGCCAACAAGGGGCAGTAAAGTATTCAATACAATCATTCAAATGGAAGCCGGCCACCTGCGCGAAAAACCCACAAACTCCTCAACAGCAAGAAACACTTCAAGCAATCACCTAAGGGCTGCAAAAGGCTGATGGGCCTTCTTTTAGCGGCAAACAATCAAGCCACCAGACGCAACGAAATAATAAGAAGCTAACTTCAAGTGGGTTCAAGCAGCAACCGATATGCACCCCGCTTGCCCCAACAAGAAGCAAAATCATCTACAAAACTGCTTGCTCCGACGGACCCAATTCTGGGTCCGGAAAACCTTCTCAAAACCGGCTTCGCTCAAAAGGGCCTCCCTAGTATATATGTATCTATATATATAGATGTATATATATATATATACATATATATACTGTACATATACATGGAGGTTTCCTAAGTCATAGGGGTACCCCCATTTATCATCCATTTATAGATGTATTTTCCATGAAATAAACCATCCAGCGAGCTTGGGGTATCCCCATGGAAAATCACCACTTTGTACACTCTGGTAAACATACAAAAAACTATGGAAAATCACCATGCTATTAATGGGAAAACTCACTATTTCTATGGCCATTTTCAATAGCTATGTTAGTTTACCAGAGGCTAGGCCCAATGAATATAAAGGGTAGCTTCATAACAGTATTTAGCCCCGAACTCATCAAGGGCGTAGTTCAGCCACTAGTCTGCATAGTCTCCGTCCCGAGTCCAACGATGTCCAGATGGGACACGGCACCTCATCCACACGCAATCGCTTCGACTGCATTTCATTCAGGAGACCCATGGCACACGCTGGGGCATCCTGGCGAGAAGTCGAGAAGTCGAGAAGACCCATTTCGGAAGGATAAGCGGCAAAACCTATGATATATCCCATATTATAATATACATATATATATATATATCCATGATATATCCATTACTTCCCATTTTCATCTATCTTGAACCACAAAAAAGGACTGTGATCAGCACTTGTCTTAAGGAGATCTCAACTGGTCATGATGCTGTCTTTTTCAGGCTATCAGTCTGTCGTGTCTCCAATGAACAGAGTAATGCAAACGCGGAGGAATGGTCAGTCAACTTGCATCTCGTGAAAAATTTAGCCAACTCACCGATTGGTCAACTTATAGTTCGTCATCCAGTATAGTCAACTTAAACTTATTGTGTATATAATATATATATATATAAACACTTAGTATATATATATATAAACACTTAATATATATATAGTTATATATAGTGTATAAATGGAAAATAGACAAAAGTATACAGTAGTCATCTTGCAGCCATCCATTTTTTTCAGGGCCCAACCTTCAACCTTCAACGCCCGATGCACCTTCGGCAACGCTGCTAAGGCGTCATGGTAGATGGCTTTTCCCTCTGCCGCGGCCTTGACGGTATAGGCTGTTTTGGGTAGGGCCGGAAGGTTGAAGTTAGTAGAAATTATGGGATTTCCAGCAAACATGTGGCCCTATCATCTGAAAACCACAGTGAGTTATCTGACAGCATGGATTGTCCCATAAAAACTGGGGACCGGCAAAAACTGGAGCAAACGTGTAAAATTTGGATGCTCCAATGTCCAACCGTGCGAAGATCCAACAAGAATTGATGCTTGATTCACAACATGAACATCCGGGATATCCAACAAATGGTCATGTGTGTTTGTGTGTTTGGTCAATCACCATTCACCATGGCTATTTGGGTTGAGTCAGTCGCAGAATCAGGTTCCCAAAAGTTCCCTAAAGGCTTCATGAAATATTGATGTAGCGCCGAAAACTGGGTACCCTCTGGTAAACTAACATAGCTATTGAAAATGGCCATGAAATAGTGGATTTTCCCATTAAAAATGACCATGTTCAATATCTATGTTAGTTTACCAGAGGGTACATCCAAAAATTGAAACCGGATCTTCCCACCGGTTTTCTTTGACAGACACTGTTTTTTTATTTCATCTTAAAAATCAGCATCCCTGACGGGCCCACCTATTTCGGATACTGAAACCAAGTTTTGCCAACGTCACTGTCATCATCACGGAGCTTCCCCCAACTATTGAAAAATGTCTTCCAGTTTTACAGTTTGATACCACCATTACCATGCTTTTATTGTGTAAATGCCCATCTTCGAGATGTTTCAATGGATAAATCATGATAATTCCACAATAAATCGACAATAAATCGATCTGAATCCCCATTTTTCGCTCGATTTCTGTTGCTTCAAAAATCGCTGGATCGCCAGTGGTAGCCAGCCGCACCTGCAGTGAGGCTGGGATCTCAGAAAGCAAATCCAGGACGCGGTTCCACCTCGACGCCTCGCTTGGGCACTTGCGGCGGATTTTCCGGGAAAATATGCCAACTTCGGAAGAGTTCGGCCCCAAAAGTCAACGTTTTCAACTGCTAAATTTCACAAACCAGGTTCGGTGAAGTACTTAATTAAGTTTCTGCCTAGTACTTTATATTTTTTATATATTATAAAATAAAATAAACAATAAAAAACCGAAGAGTTGATCTGCTGGTGTTCAGCAGGTTGATCTGTGGGGGTCCTGAGACTATGCAACCGATATTTTATCGTGTCTCGCTGAGGGGCAAACCTGGTACTCTAGGTACTTACTACAACGAGAATGCCATCAAGAACAATCAAGGTTGCAAGTGATCTGTTCTCCCTTTCAAAAGTGGCATAATGTAATCTGATGGCCTTTGCCTTTCACAGGAGATGGGTTTTTTGCCGTCCCACCGGAATCCAAAACTTTCACAAGATCATACCACCATGCAAGAAAAAGAAACGATATATACCCAAAATGCTTACTCCTAATCCTACTGAAATAAATTGAGCCCACAAGACAGGTTCATCCAGAAAAATGTATCAATTGCTCTTCCTACAAGGCTGGCTCCATTCAGCCCAGTTCTCATGCTCTGACCCTTGAGGCTATGTGTATGTGTGTATGCGTGTATGCGTGTATGCGTGTATGCGTGTATGCGTGTATGCGTGTATGCGTGTATGCGTGTATGCGTGTATGTATGTATGTATGTATGTCTGTCTGTCTGTCTGTCTGTCTGTCTGTCTGTCTGTCTGTATGTATGTATGTATGTATGTATACACATTGTATATGATATTATCTATGTATGGTCAAAGCAGTTTGGCTCTCCGGCTCTCTTTCCTTCTTAAAAACAAGAAAGCTCTCAGGAATCTATGGGTTCCCAAAACCCAACCATGGCGATCACCGCCTGGGCAAAACCAAAGGCGGTCGACTTGTAAGTGATGGCATCAGGCTGTAAACCTGCCGACCAGGGACGACCCCCGTGGCCTCGCTGGGTCGATGATCTGGCTTCCCCAACTGACCATCCACCAGGCTTCACCAATAACTATGGTTTATGGCACTTATAACTATAGTTATGGGGGTTTATAAACCAACTTATAACTGGGGGGCACCACATTGTACATAATATCTTTATGTAAACCTGCTGGTAACCTGTCTGTTTATTGAAATCCCCTGATTCTTGTTGGCTATTTGATCATCCGACTGATGGATGTTGCTCAAGTGATCACCAGGCGTCAGGGATGGTTCTCGCAGTCTTCATGAAATCTAAGGGTGTCCCAATGGCACTCAACCAGGTCTTGCGTTTCGAGTCCCTACCAACGAATCTTTTGTTCACCCCATCAGGCAACTTAGGATCAATGGATTGGTGTTCTTCGGAAAATCGAAACCAGAAACCATAGATTTTGGCATTCAATTTATATTGGGCTTTCCGGTGTCAATTTTCCCAAAACCAATCCATTGAATAGATCAGACTGGGATGTTGATTTTATCATATTTTATCCATAGCATTCCATAGCTATCAAGACTATCTACCAGCCACTTTGAAAATCTTCCAAACCCACCTGGCTGGTCTTTCAAACTGCTCCACAAGGTCTCCAAATCGTTCACCTCACTCACCGCCTCGATCGCCTGCATAAATTTTTGGATGGACAAATGGGGACCGAAAAAAAACGTTTTAGATGGGGTGGATAATCTATGGATAATCTATGGATAATCTATGGATAATCTATGGATAATCTATGGATAATCTATGGATAATCTATGGATAATCTATGGATAATCTATGGATAATCTATGGATAATCTATGGATAATCTATGGATAATCTATGGATAATCTATGTAAGAAACCACGAAGGTCCCCAGTGGTGCACACACATTCACTATTTTCTCGACCCAAGGAGGCTTCGGTTCAAACTTCGATCTTATCATGCTGATTGTCACCACCATTGTTGACAGCAGAGCTCAAACAATTCATCACACCCCTCTCAGAAGTTGTCAAACGACTTAAGAGAATACCCACCACCACGAAGAACAAACAACAGCAAGGCAACAGGAGCATTTTCTTTCGTCAGGACATCGGCAAGCATGTTATTAGTTTCAATCCATGACAGTTTCATGTTGTTTTCTCTGAAGTCCCTACGAACCATCAACATGTCAATGGCTTCCCTTTTGTTTTTAACCACTATACCATCTCCTATTTGGTGATCATAGATAGGTTTATTGTCGATTAAACACACCATCCCAATTTTCTCTCTGAACCTTTTGTCCTCCTTCAGTTGATAATCAGGGTTCAGAGCCTCACCAAAGAGCGAGCGAATCCACTCTCCTTCTGCGATTCCACGAGATAGGGACATGAGTTCGGAGCCTAGCGTTGATTGGCAATGCCTTTCTAGCTTATAGCTCTTCCATCTCAAAGGTGATAATGGCACCGCTTTTCCGTTCAAAAACGTTTCATCCGCCAGAGCCACAAAATAACCACCTTGACTTCTAAGATCATCGCAATTTGACCACGAGGCATCCGTGGACAAGACAAAAACGCCTCTGTCCAATGGTATCGGCCTAATGGTAATCTGAATGTGTGCATGATCATGAATCTTCCCTACCAGTTTGTTCGCCTCAATCAAGTCCTGGACTGTAGCCCTGGTGATTCGTTGTTGCAACAGACCAGCAGTTACCGCTATGTCAGGTCTTGTGCTTGTCATCAACCAGTTTGCAGCGCCAATAACTCCCCTGAGTCTGGTTCTTTCCTTTTCTGTAATCAGGGCATGTTTTTCTCTCCTACGTTCTTTAGTGAGTTTGATAGATGACACCTGTTCAGCATATTCTTTTTGATCACACACAATAGAACCATCATCAGATTGTTTCAAAAACCGTCCCAAAAACTTCCCAGAACCATTTTTCCAATGTTTGAACGGATAACGAACACGAAGCTTGTCCAACACTTGCTCATGAAATTTCCCAGTGCCACCAATAACCATATCATCAACATGAAGTGCAATAATACCTTCCAAACCATCATCATGATACCAATAATACACACAGGGATCAAGTTCACTTTGTTTCATCCCCAGATCCAACAGCGTACGAGTGAATGACAACCACCAAGCCCGGGGAGCATCACAGAGACCATAAACACATTTCACCAATTCAACAACACTGTTCGAACCAAGTCCCAACAATTCTCTATCTTCTTTAGGAACCTCAACAAAAATCCTGCCATTCTTTCGTTTCAATGGCTCCCCCTGAAGGAACGCCCCTTCAACATCGGAAATAACCATTGACCATCCTTTACTCGCTATGATCTGAAGAGTCATCATAAAGGCATCTAAAGACAAAGTCGGTGATTGTCTTTCCATATCCATCAGGTCAGGATCCCTAAATCCCTTGACGCACCATCTACATTTGATTTCTTGTTTTCCGGGGTTTTCAGGGTCATCCCTACGAGTCTTGACAAATCTACTTGTAAGAAATCTTTCCCCAGGATGATTCCTACGTAAGTCTTCAGCTTCACTACCGTGGAAAACCTTGATGGCATTCGTGTCAACCAACTTTTTCCATTCTTTAGTTTTGCCTTTGTTAACTTCCGGCCTTTCGACTGCCGTGATGTCCTTCTCAGAGATCTCGTGCGAGTTGTTGTGAACTACATAGGCGTCATTGAGCAGGGCGTCCTCGGAAGTCTGACCAAATGGGCCTCTCGAAGCCCTTGCGTACCCCTGATCCAGAATTTCAGTGCTTCTTCTCAGGGCTCGCGTCAGACTGTCCGTCCTGATAGGTCCATAGCTAGAGCCTGCTTGTGAATCGGGTCCGGTTCCCAAATTTGTTCCGGCCCCACCAGCTTCTGTCACCATTCCGGTTGTCAGGTTGCCACCTCCGGTTTGTGCATGGGGCTCACCTGACGTTGCTTGTGTTGAGTCACGTCTTCCCTCAGACATGCTCTCCTCTGTCTCCGTCGGAACCTGTGTAACATCAAGTTCTGATTCCATTGGATCGGGTTGTTGTTCGCTCCCCAGTGCAGTGTTCATGTGCTCATCCAGTTCCTCCACTGTCGTATCTTCTTGAAAGGACACTCGGGGTCTTTTTTGCGGTTGTTCATCCGCTGGTGGACGTCCTTCCGCCGAGATGTCTGTGTACACGTGTGCTCCACGTTTTGTGAAGCGTGATGGATGCTGAATCAGGTCAGGTGTTGTGAAAAGCAACGCTGCCTTCTGATCATCCGTAAGCAGTCGAATCTGCTCTGGAGCACAGCGAAGAACCTTGTTGCCATATCCTATCCAGACTTTGGTTTTGTTTTCAAAGAATCCTATCACTCGTGCTGGACCACGCCATGATCCCTTTTGATCTTGGCCCTTTCTCCAGAAAAACACAAAATCACCAACTTCGAAATCTCTTTGGATTTCTCTTGTTCGGTGAAGTGTGGCAGCTCTAAGCCGGTCCTCATCATCTTGAGCCACTAATGCTTTTCTAGCCGCCTGTCTAATTTGCTGTGACCTTTGGTAGCTTTCAACACCATGAATCACACCCGACATGTACGGAACATTCTCGCAACCCTCTTCCAAAATGGTTTGAGGAATCCGAAGATCACATCCAAAAACATGTTGATAAGGAGAGAACCCGTGTTTGCGCATCATGGAATTCTTGCTTTGTGTGACTTTGTCAAAAAGTTCGTTGAACTCACATCGACTCCTAGGTTGACAATCCTCGGCAGCCTTATAAAAGATTGATTTCCACAACCCTCCATGTTTTTCACACAATCCGTTGGACCAAGGAGATTCAGCCGGTGTTTTGGAAACCATGGTGCCGTCTTGTTCACAACCCTCTTGAAAAACTCCATCAAACTCAGTACCACCATCAGTAAGAATCCTTTTTGGTGCTCCAGCCCATCTCAGGAAATATTTACGATACGCCTTTCGAACACTTTGGGAATTACATCCTTTCCACAACGGAATCACCACTTGCAGACTAGTCCCTTCATCACAAATATTCAGGAACTTGACCTTCTTCGCCTGGGGTCCCAAAACCAGTTCAAAGGTATCCATATTAATCTGCTGATTGAAGGTTTCCGCTTTGTGAATCTTGGTGACCGCATGACTTTGAGGGGGTTTCCTAGCGACACAAACGCTACACTTCATTTCTTTGGCGGCCTTGATGGCCGCTTCACTAGCCCCAGCTGATTTGAGCATGTGCAAAAACCGCTCCCTGGAGGGATGTCCTAAGTTGACATGACAACGGTGAATGCTTTCCTCAATCTTTTCATGTTTTTCCGAAAGCTTCTCAACCGCCAAAACTTCGTACCCTCTCTGATCCTTGGTTTTCTTGATAGCTTTCACCATGCCCTCAACCAATCCTTTTGGGTAAACCTGTGAGCATTGTGACCGGTTGACCCATTTCCCCCCAACTCTCACTTGACCCTCAACATGTTCATGTTCATGTCCATGATCACAGTTTTTCTCCAGGTAGTACCGAAAATTGGGGTCATTCGTCATGATTTGAGTGGGTTTCCTATACAACTTATTGGAATTGGGGTCCCGCAAACCGAACATGCATTGATCCAAACAGAAAATGATGGGTTTGTGATGATCCATGAATTGACACATGCACTCAACCCTCCAGCTGTCAGACCCTTTTGGATGTTCAAAACTGTACGTACGACCCTCTTGTGCTTGCAGTTCACACACCTGAAGTGCAAAATTCAACAAGACTTCACCCTCAATTCGTTTCCTCCTTCTCTCTTCCCTCGACCCTTTTCCTTTCGATAGCCGCTGCAGTGGGCTGAAAGGGCCGCAGGGAGGACAGACATGAACGTGTTTCGGTCGCTGTGCCCTGAGTTCATCAAGACACTTTTTTCTGTCACTCGCATTGAGGAAATCCCAGCCATTCCAAAGATCATAGGAACCACCAACCTTCAACCCCTTTTTACTAGCAACAGGACCAATCCTAGGAACCGAAAACAGCTCACTAACATCAACACCATCACCTCTCAAATCAACAGTGCAAACGTCGACACATTCAGAGTGTTCTTGGTCACTCACCTGCGGCAAACGATCATTTGCCTGAAGAAAGGCAACATTGCTCTGAAGTCTCTTTCGAGCCTTCCTTGATAGTACTCGCTCCGGTCCTATTCGGCCAGACCGTTCACCATCATGTTCATGCCCGAAGGATGACGAGCCATCTTCTCGATCATGCGTTGACGTTTCATGTAGTTGTGATCCAAGGTCCTGATGGCCATCCCTTCCCATGCCTTGATCACCCACTTGTCCTTGTCCACATTCGTGCCAAGGTCTTCTGTCATCACCTCCCAGTCCGTCATCTCTGTGTTCTCCATCTTGTTCTTGACGGGAGGGCTTCTCTGTGTCGCCTTCGGCAGCATGGGACTCTGACGTTCGGCTTCCTGGTTGATGCGGTCGATCTTGGCTTTGTCCATGTGAGCCACAAACACTCGGAACTTCTTTATGGTCGGATGGGAGCTCTCGTTGATGTGTGTCCTCACCCATGCCACGTAAGACTTGTCCTCCATGTAGATGCTCAGGTACGTCTTTTGCTCGTCCTTGTACTTGCCCTTGTCCATGAGTGTGGAGGATCGGATCGGATTGCCCTCCGCATCCACCTTGTGATCCGGAAAGGAGTCCACATTGCGAATGGTGGCCATCGTTTCGTCCCGTACCAGACCAGCCATCATCTGATTCACCTCGTCCGGAATCGTGTATCCCTTCTTGTCCTGGGAGCTGCTTGCGCAACCGCTCTTGGACATCTTGGGCGCCATGTTCCTGAATCGGAGGTTCCTTCAAGTTCTCAGGGTCGTGGGGGTCACTTGAACCACAGTTCTCTAATTCATGAATCTTATATATCGTACATGTTTTGTTTTTGTTTTTCTTCTTGGTGTCGTTCGCAAGGCAGTCAGCAGCATCAGCACAACAGCTTTCAAAAACATCAACAACACCATGATCAAACAAGGGGATAGCATAATGACCACGTTTCGTTTCTTCGAGGGGAACACTGCAGTCAAGCCTATCAAAACGAGCACTGCTATCAACCATGTCCAACACACAACCAAGTTGTTTCAACAGTTCCTTGCTCATCAACAATGGTGTGGTCTTGCCCTCTTTCGGCAAGACAGCCGCCTTGATCACAATTCTCTTTCCTCCTACGCTAGCCGGCAAAAGTGCGGTCTGAGTTGATGACAGCATGCCATTGTTGCCGAACCTGAAATCATGATTGTCCTCAACCCGGTGAACCTTCAAACCCCTACGGGACAAATGGTCCTCAATACCATCCAAAACAGTTTCACCAACCAAGGTTCTTCGGCAAGCTGTGTCAGGGATTCCGCACCGTTTTAGTGCGTGATCCTCAAGGGTGTCACCGAGAGCACTCATTTCCGCTTGTGCATGGAAAACGTCAAAACTTCGCTCAAGCCTCCTCGTCGATTCGTGTGGCACCACCACGGTCTCGTCACTGATCTGCCTGTTCCCAGTGGAGTGCGTGTCCGCAAACCCTGGGTTGAGAACATGGTTTGGCAAATTGCTCTGCCAACCCCGGTCACTGTCCTCCGCCTTCTCCGTGATGAAGCTCTCCCACATCTGTTTGACCTGATCGCTATTTTCCACCAGCAAAACTTCTTTCGAAGGTGTAGTTGCCGATGACGTCGATGATGCCGATGACTTCAAAGGGCATTCCTTCTTCCAGTGTCCCAGGCGCTTGCATCGATGGCACCTGGTTCTGGCCTTCAACTGATCGATCTTGCCCCGAAGTGTTCCGGAGATCTGCCATGAGCTGGATGCATTCGACTTCCCTCCTCCTTTTCCTAGGCTGGGTTTCGGAAAGTATCCCCTTCCATTCTTGCTTTCTTGGAGTTTCCTTCTGATGTCCGTGTACGTCTCGAATGTCTCCAGCACATCTTCTTCTTCCCAGTCTTCTCGACCCTGCACCTCTTCTGCGACCATATCCATCACGGCCTGCAAATCATCCTCCTCTTCGATCTCTGTCACCTCTGGGTCCACCTGAAAAACATCCTTGGAGCTAGTCTTGACACTGCTTCCCTTTCCTTCCGGAAAGATCGTGTTGGTGGCTCGAATCACCTCCTCTATCTCCAGTTTCCCACCTGAAGTGGTAAGGATCAACGACTCCTGACTCGCTTCCAGTCTGAGTTTTTTCATGAACAGGAAACCCAGGGCAACTTTGGGTAGAACAACTTTTTGTTCTTCTAGTTTCCTTTGTGCAGCCGCAAATCGTGCAGAGAACTGTCGATAAGTCTCCATGGGCTTCACACTCAGCTCATGGAAAAAGGTCTTCAAACTAGATTGAAGAAGGTCTATTGGCTGTGGGTTGTATTTGTCATCGAGGATGGCCCAAATCGCCTTGTCCCCATTCTCAGCACAGATCCCCTCTATCTCAAGTTGCTCCAGTAGGGCTTCCGCTTCCCCACCGATGTACCCCATGAGTTTGGGCCCGTGCTGCTCCTTCTTGATGGTGCTGGGCAAGCTTGCCAGCATTAGTTGCGCCCTTCTCTTCCATGTCCGGTAAGACAAAGGTTGTGTCCCATCAAAAATTTCAAGGCGTCCCTTGTCCTTGCCACCCTCGCCCTCATCCTCTCCGGTCGACATCAAGCGAATGCACCGCCCTGGATGCCCCCCCCGTAAGGGGAGCTCCGCCTACCACTAAGAAACCACGAAGGTCCCCAGTGGTGCACACACATTCACTATTTTCTCGACCCAAGGAGGCTTCGGTTCAAACTTCGATCTTATCATGCTGATTGTCACCACCATTGTTGACAGCAGAGCATCGGATTCTATGGATAATCTATGGATAATCTATGGATAATCTATGGATAATCTATGGATAATCTATGGATAATCTATGGATAATCATAATCATCCTATGGATAATCATCTATGGATAATCTATGGATAATCTATGGAGCTATGGATAATCTATGGATAATCTATGGATAATCTATGGATAATCTATGGATAATCTATGGATAATCTATGGATAATCTATGGATAATCTATGGATAATCTATGGATAATCTATGGATAATCTATGGATAATCTATGGATAATCTATGGATAATCTATCCCTAGGGCTCCAGGATGCTTGTGAGAGATGCCCTGGATTTGCAGTAGTTGGCATTGGGTTTGGGCCTACTTTCTGCTCAGAGAGGCCGCGGGCCCCAAGGACAGGCTGAGGCAAATCCAGCTGATTTTCCATCCAAATGCATCTTTGTCAAGGATCTATAGGTGTGAAACTTCCAAAGTGAGAAACGAAATGGTGAACATGTGATCATATAAGGAGTGTTGGTTAAGGCCATCACTGTTGAGCCATGGCCGATGGGTCTTCTTAGAGATGCTGCTTTGAGAGGTGCCTTCTCCTACCCTGCTGCGTTTACCAGTGAAAGTGTGGATATCAATAGATAGAAGAAAAATCACATCTGTTTTAAGTTACTATCGTTGTTTCAAGGGATTCATCCTTAATATCATTTATCCAAAGTGGTGTCTGTTATGTTGAATAATGATTGATCTTGACTTTGAGCTATCCATTTGCCTGTGAATCTAGTTGCCGATTGCCCCACTCAACCTTCAGCCTTGATTGCCCAAACAGAGCTGGCTGCTTCCTGCTGGCATGGCGCTCAAAGCGACGGCGACTGGAGATGGGGGCTTGAAGGTGGAATCACCGCTGGTGTTCAAGCTGAGTGTATCTTGGAGAACCTTTTTTTCTAGCTCCAAAAAACCAATGATGGGTTTCACCTTAATTTAGGTACATCATTGTTATCAAAATTCTTGATTGATTCCACTGGTGTGATCCCCTAGGCAGTGGGCCTATGCATCCATAATGGTATCAAAAACTTCCTGGCCGAGTCACAGCCTTTGGTCCTTGAACGAGAGGACGCACATGAGTCATGTTAAACCACTGCCCCATCAAAAAAAAAAAATCCTCGCCATACATGTAATGTGCCCCGGCCTGATCAGGAGAAATGGATCATCGACTGGGAACGTGACGGCAGCCAGAACCTTGCTGCAGTGCCGACCCTGGTTTGATCTGTTGGGTTTTCACTCCCTCGACCTGTGCAACTTTTGAGTTTCAATCATGAAGCCTCATGGAAGCTTAGGTCTTGGAGAGAGATGTGGTGGCCAACTACGAAGTGATGAGGGAGGTCTTCATCTGTGTCTATGAGATGTACCCTGCAGTCTGGTCCCAGGGTGTTCCCCCTCTTGGTGACTTTGAAGTTTCTTAGCTGGACGTTTGGAATTCAATTGTGTTCCCCCGATCAGCTGATTAGTAGCTACATGTATGATCAGTATTTTTGTAAAGAACAGTAATTATTCAAAATAAATTTCTTGTACATGTACGTATAATTTTTCAAACAAATGGGGAATGTGGCATGCAGTCCCTTCTTTGGCTTTCTCTTGAGGGAGCCATGATCTACACCACTGCATTCATGAACTTCCACAAGGAGCTCTACAGGACCAAAGGTGGAAAGAAACTGATTCGGGTATCTAGCCTGCTTTTATTGATAATGTATATACATGCATATACATGTATATACATATATATATGCATATGGTGGTGTGTTCATACAGCCCAAACATGTTTTAACTGGGATGTCTTGTCTGCACCCCACTCAGGACTGGGCTCACAAGGAAGCGTTGAGGCTGCGAGCCTGCTTTAGCCACCTGCACCGACTGACTTACAAAACGGAAGTGTCAAGGAGTGGATACATTGAAACTGTTGCACATTGTCTTTGATTTTTTTTGGGTGGTGCACTGAAACTTTACTTTTCGTGCAGGAATGCAGTGGTGAAAGTGCTGAAGAAGTTGTACGTGTACCTTCGCTCCCAGGTTTGAATCTCAGCTTCAAGCTAGTCGATCAACGATTCTATATTTTTTGTCATTCAATACATATTATATTATATTATATATATTACATATGCCACAAATATAGATGTCCACATATATTTGTCCATTATGTGTCCACAGGCATATGCCCACATATGAACTGATATATTTCTAGGGGTGATCTGACTGCACAAGATGGCCCATGATTGCCAGCCTCTTGGTCCCTTGGTCATTGGCAGGGTGGTCAACCTGCTGAGCAGCCAGAGCAGCCCGAGCAGGCCCTTCAGGACGGAGACTTGAAATGAAGTATCAAAAACTAACACTGATCATAGCTCTGAATTAAAAGGGAACATTCTAAATAATATCAAACAACATTTCTAAAAATTTAGGGATATGGGTATATGGCATAGTTCAAGCGGTTTGGGGTGCCCCCAGTTGAAAAATATATGCCACCCCCGGCAGGATCGAGATGATGAATGTGACCGACTCAGCATTGAAGACCTGGACGACGAACCAATCATCGTGAGTGTGCAGGACACGCTTTTCCACCTGTACGACTTATTTGGTTGGAAAACTGAAAAACCACATGAATTAGCTCAAACTCAAACCCCAATGGACAAGAACCATGCATCGTACGCGTATCTATTTCTAGCTTTGAATGTACGTATATACTTTGTGGAGCCCCCAACAGATTTCTATTGATCCCAGACCAATCCCAATCGCCGATCGTACTGGATTTGCAGGAAAGTTGCGATGTCAAGGACTGTCACTACCAGCTAGCTGGTCTGGTATATAATTAGCTGGCACAAGAGTCGATATCAAGCGATCATGATTTCAAAAGGCCTATCATTTACGAAATTTGTTGGTCAGAGGTATAATCAGTGAGAGTCTTGATAGGAGGAGACAATGGAGGCTGTTGAGGCTTGGTGTATACACTTCGACGGCCAGCAACTTAACTATTTTGCAGTTCTTAAGCTGCCAGCCATTGTGGCCAGGTCATCGAAGATAGCCAATGCATGGATGAGTATTTCATGGAAAGTCAAGTCTTGACCTCATCGTAGATGTTTTGTGGTGGTTGTTGTGTTGTTGACACCTGGAAACATGGATAGCATGACTACAAGGCAGAGTGGGCATCACCTTGGAAAGACCGCCCATACATCAATGCTGGGGGCTCAAACAATATTATCAATTCAGGTCACATGCAGATTGCACTATCAGCTGGCTGGCGGCTGGTGCTCAGAGTTTGGCTATCTAGCATTAATATGAACGAGTTTATTACTTTGTGACACCAAGACAACATATGTATACTGGCTATAAATACTATATATATATTAGCTGCCCGCCACTGTGCGCAAATGCCTCCAAGGACGAGGCCTCTTCTGCCGACATTCCACATCCTGACAAGATGGAGGTGTGGCTGCAAAGCTGTGGTCGGTTCCATGTGTGATGTATTTAATTGAGTTTCAAACAAATGCATGTACCAAAGTATATATGCATGTATGCGATTGCCCATGTTAACTGCTGGCCAGACTTTGGACTACAACCCTCATGACTGCGAAGCTTTTATGGCTGCCCCCCATGCAGAGGTTGGGTGCATGCATCATTAGTGCACATACGTGTTAGTTTCAACAATGTTTAAAGCAATTTGCAAATTGGTGGATTGACTTTGGAGGCTTCTGGCTGGGTTCCATATGCCACAAGAATTCGAAACTTTTTCGAGAAATATCCTGGGTGCAACGAACCAGTAAACCAGGCTGGGCCTGTGATAGTGCTTAAGATCAAAACTCATGTCTACTTTTTTTTGGCGAGCACTTATGCATGTGCAGGGGGGTGCTTCTGTAACTCCATCAGCAGCATCTTCTGAGAATAAGGCAGCCTGCGCTGCCACATGTTGTGAGGATAGAGCCTGTGTGTGAATGCGTGCGTGCAAAAGGTATATTGTGTGACATGTACAATATTTATTCAAATCAGCATGCAATCTTAAGTTTCATCAAATGTCCATGTGCCAGGAACCTACATCGGCTGAAGTCGCTGAATCGAAGGCCGGTTGATCAGTTGTGTGTTGGAACTTTTGTACCCAACACAAGTGATCAGTCTTGACTTGGCACATGAGTTTTTTGCTTGCAGGATTCAAACAAAAGGGACAAGAAAGGCAAAACCAGAGATGACAAGGCACATTTAGTGGCTACTGATACAGTAGAAAAAAATGTCACTTGGCTTGCTAGGCCCATGAAGAAGTTGGTCTTGCCGAGAAACAAGCTCGCTTGCGGCAGGAGCTTAAAAAAAAGGCAAAGCAGGCAGGGCAGGGGAGATGCTCACCCAATTTTACCTTTGTATCGCAATGTTTGTGTGCAGATTGGACTGCAATCTATGCAAGTAGACTATATATACATATATATGAATCCCATCCTGCAAATCTGCGAAGTACCAACCAGTGTGTCTTGGTTTACTGTGAACTTGTGCTTATCATATATATATATTTATGTATAATATATATCAATATTGTAATGCTGCTTGACTGCTGCTTGCCAGGACGAAATCCAGAAGAACACTGAGAAGGAGGAAAAACTGAAAGCAAAGCACGTGGCAGCTGAGGAAAAGGAGAAGAAGCGATTGGCTCGTGCTGCTGCGAAGGAGGAGAAGCTGAAAGGGCGAGAAAAAAAAACTGAACCTAGCACTGCTGATGCAGCAGAATCTGAGCCAAGGCCAGCCAAGAAACAACGAAGGAGTAGGGTGGAAGTGAAACCCGCAGAGAAACCTGAAGAGAAGCTAGAGAAGCCTGAAGAGAAGTTTGAAGAGAAGCCTGAAGAGAAGTTAGAAGAGAAGCCTGCAGACGATGCGAAAAGAGACCGAAAGGCTGAGAAGGTAAAGGAAGCTTTCTGCCTGATCCAAGCTGTGGGGATTGCAGAGTTACAGACCGAGTTAGGAAATCGCCAAAGCTACACTCTGAAACCACCAGCTGGTGCAAAGGATGCTGCCCGATCGACGATTGGAGTCCTTCTGACTACCCAATCATTTTACGTCACCAAGAACATAGTTGATAAGAATGAGTGGCCTGAATGTTTGTCCAGCCTCTACAAGGTGGGGGTCGGGTTTGGGTAAACTAGCCGGTGTTTTTTCCTGTTATGCTTTATGTCCACTGAGCTGGATGTTGTTTGTGGGTCACTTGCCAGGTTGATGTCAAAGGAGGCATCACGCTTCCTTGGTACCGAAACGCAGCAGGGCCGACTCAACTGAACAAGATTGCTGCTGCCTGGGGCCATGCAAAGTATTTTGCTGGATGGTGTGTCAGTGAGGCACTTGGCAGTTGATGCTCCAAGTCTTTTGCGATATAGTCTGGAACAGTTGCATTATTGTGCGCCTTGATTTCAGCCAATTGATTTGCTTGTGGGAGGCCATTACCTCGAGCTCGACGTGAAGCCTTCTCCCTATGGGCTCTAGATTTGGGGAATGTTTGGGGAATGGGTGCAGGGCTGTGTTGAAACAAGAAGTCGCAGTGATTTTTGAAAACTGCTGGCACAAGCCCTTGCCACTCTCAATCTTTATGCATTTCTAGAGACCGGGGGGCAAGCAGTGGAAACCAATTTACATTGTTCCTTCGAAATATTACTTTGCACACTACTAGAACATCATATGCTATATATGTATTTTGAACTTCCCTCCCTTCGTGCTCTGAATCTTCACTTCGCGTGTGTGTGTGTCCACACGTGCATCACTAGCAATTAGCTAGAACCCGGCGAAGTGCATGTGAGCTGAAAAAGCGAAAACCTGTATTGTGATATATGAACAGGTATTTTCAGTTCAAGCTTATAAATTTTAAAAAAAGGTATAATTCTCTTTACAGGGATTCTGTACCACCCACGGCCAAGATCGTTTTCCATCCCGCCTCGCAGGTAGAACTTCTTCGAGAAAGTCAGCACCTTGTGATGGAGACAGATTTGATCCAGGCTGTGAAAGAGGTATGTTGAGATGGTGCCCTGAAAAAGTTTATAGATTATACGTGCGTATACATCAAAATTCAAAAACACCTCGATATTTGTGATTTTCGTGTGTTCTTCCAAGATTGGATTCATCCATTTTGGGGACACCAAGACGGTCACCATGAATAACCAACATATGCGGGGGGCCCAGCATTAGAGGATCCATTTTGGGAACACCGCGAATAGTTATATTATCGAATATTTGTTAAAGATCTAGAGGAACCCTGAAATAGAGGATAGATTTTGAGACAACATTGTTCATTCCTGGTGCATGCATATTTGTCATAACCACATATTAATAGTACTACTATAAAACATAGTCCAAACTATACACAATCCATTTCCTCTCATTGCTTGTTGCAGGTAGCTCTGAACGTGGTGTCTTGAAGAAGATCCACAAAACCAAAGGTGCCATCCCCCGTTACCAGTCCGTGCTGGGTCCGATGGGTTGACATCAACTTACTCCCACACCAAAAAAACAACAAATTAATGTTTGATCAACATGCACTATCAAAATGTGTAGGGTCCTGTGCAGTCTAGGACCAATAGGTTTTTAGAACCGCATTTGTTGCACAAACCAGCTGCTGATATATGGGCTCTTTTCATGATCAAGATGTTGCAGGGTTATGGCTATGGGCTGAAGAATCCTATATGTTTGACGTTTGACCTATTTGACCAATCCGAACAATCAAAAATGCCAGCATGCAATTCATTTAAATCCCAGACCAAAAAAAAATAGTTTGCCCCATAGAAGCCAACTGCATTTTACAGGGGTGCACACCACGGCGCCATCGTTGGGAGCCATGCGAAATCTTCGATCTTTGGGCCTCAGCAGGTTGCAATGCGCAGCCCTTCTGTGCATGGGTGCACCTCCAGTATTGTCACTGGACTGCAAAGTTGATTTATTTAATATTAATATATATATATATATTCCCGATTGAATTAGGGGGAGACTTCGCACCCTGCTTCTTGTAAGCTAATTCCAGGGGACTTCCAAAAACCATATAAAATGATTTTTTGGGGGAATTTTGGCCCTTACAAAAAGCATAGGTTTTTAGCACCCACATTCGACTTCAAACATAATATATATTATATATATATATTTATAAGGCGACGACTTTCTTCATGATATGAAAGTTGCATCCTACTCGATGACCTTTTTATAAGAAGTTGTGATTTTAGATAGCGTTTTCGGGCATCATTTTGTAAGGAAACAACTTCTGGTTCTCTGTTTCTGGCTCTCCCGGATTGGTTGATTTTCAAGCAGCCCTTTTGTAAGGATTCCATTTTTTCCAACCTTTTATGTTGTTTTATATTCTTGTTTCTTTGCTTCTTAGAACTCCTCTCATGATCTCGCGTTTGTGTTATCATTTTATATGATTAAAAAAACAAACGTTGAACACGAAAGAACATGTACAAAATGAAAACAGATAGCCGTGAACGTCGTCACACTTACAACTTGCAAAAGATCTTGGAAATAGCCAAAACAGCTATCAAATGATTGAGGCGAATCAAAAACATGTACAAATCTGAACAATACTTTTGTATCAATGCCTAAAAAGCATATATTCTTACAAAAAAATGTTCTTCTACTCTTGACGACATCTCCTTACAAAATGTCATTACACACCTTGCTGAGTTCTTTTTTGTTTGTTTTTAATATGTTCAATAACAACATCTTGAGCCTATAAACAGCCTCAAAAAGACAAACTCGATGGTCTTATAAAATGACTTGGCACCTCAAAACTCTTATTACAAAATGAACACTTGAAAATCTACAACTTTTTCTTTTGGGTGCCCTGTTACAAAATGCCCTGGTTAGGGGGATCATTGTAACTACAGTTCAATATATATTAATATAAAAACCATTTATAGTGGGGTCGACCCCTTCCATTCATAAGGGAAATTCGAACGGGAATATAATATATATATATAAATTATATAATATATGAACTTGTGAACTTGAAAGACCCCATTCTTGGAACATAACATCATGCATATTTTATGTTCAGGACAGGGGAAACCAACAAGTACAATGCATCATAGTATGCATGTTTTATGTTTTTGTCTGTCAGGGTTTATATCTTGGACTTCATCCACCAGAACCTCGACAAGGGTGATGGCGCACACTACAGGGCTTCTTGACTTCGAAAGAATGCGAATCAGTAATCATATTCTTTGTTTAACAAGTGTTCCATGTATGGATGTGTCAAAATTCCTGTCAGTGGAGCACCAGATTTTGGAAACACAACTCTGTTGGAATAAGGATGTCATGGCAGCAGAATTCTTCGGCGGATGTGAATCTGTAGTGTCAGGCTTTCGTTGGACACTCAATGAGTGGGAAAAAAACAAATCATTTGAGTGCTGAGCCACAGATTGATTCTAAATTAAATGCTTCTCTGGAACCTTCCAAACAATCCCGAAACCCTTCCAACCTACTGACGTGCTGTGCCAAGGTGAACTAGGAATCCCAGCGCAGCTTGGATGCAAATATATCCTGAAGTCGACCCATTTCAAAAAGATCCAGGGGTGAGCCTGGGTGGTTAGATATATATATATATTATAATAATTATATTCTTGGCAACATAAAAAAGGACTCGTAAATTCATATTTCGTTATCATGTCAACATATATATAATATATATATAATAGGTCTATCTGGACACTTGCAATTGTGAACCTAAGGCAAAGTTGTGACATTCGCAAGGATGAGGTTGTGCAGAACCTTGCTTCCAACATCGGGCTATGCTGGTTCCTACGCCTAGCTTTGAGGTGTAAGGAAGCGGCATTGGGGCTCCTTGGAACCCCTTGCAACAGCTTTGGCTGGATGAGTTCGTCCCAGCATGCACGGACTCCCGAGAGTCCATGGGGTGACTTACAATATTCTTGGGTCAACCTTGGAAACATCCTAGCAAGCAGAAGCTGTTTAGTGGTGATGACTTTACTGTGTCGGTCAGTATACTGGATGCTGGAGAACCCCCACCGCAGTACCATCGCGGTGCTGCCACCTTTGATGCATATAATGAGCATCCCTGAACTACATCCTCTTCGAGTGTACTGGTGGGGGTCTTATCTATGTTGATTGAACATGGCCTGTCAACATGCTTAATGTAATTCCAACCTTGTGTTCGAAGACAGATATATTATACATATATAACCCACAAGTGCTTGCAGCTAAGGGCTATGGGATACTTTGGAGGATGGTCAATAAAACCTGAATTGGGTTATGGCAATGCGCCTGGGCCCTAACTGAACTCACGCAATGCGGGTAAACTTTGTGCCCGTCCTCTATTGTCCACACCAATTTCCCAAGGCCATGGATGCCATACCTCAACCACAAAATCACCAGTGTGGTGCGGCTCCAGATTCGACAGCGTGCTGAAACACAGGGGAAACAGATGGTCAAAACTTCTACCAAGTCAGACAAGAAAAGTGTGTCAATGACTCAGTCATTTGCTTTTTCAGAACAGTACTATATCATATTTGTACGTTCACATTTTGCTAGTGCAACACTAGGTCATGTCATTGAGGTCGGGTGGACAAGACATGCGAGCCAGCGCAATGTATCCCAAAGATTTTGGTCGTTTTATCGCTTCTGAACATTTGAAGCTGGTGGTTCCTTGGGTTCAACCCTAGTTGCCAATCAAATGACTATGGCCTTGATTAATGAACAATATGCATATGGAAGTGCTGAACTGCACTGGCCTTCACCAAGGAGTCAGACCCTCAACTTCCTAATCTACGACAGATGGTGAGGAATGGGTTCAGAGACACCTGGCTGCATCTATATAATTGCCGTTGCCTTTTAACCATTCAAGATGGTGCCCCAAATCTCATATATTTTTACTTCCCTTTCCGAATAAAATCTATCAACAAAGGAAACCCAATATAATATATTTATATATATATACATATAATTATACATATTTTATAAGCTATCTGGCTCCGGGGGTATCGTACTGTATAGCACAAATATATATAAAAGGCTTTAAGCCTGGTAACTATTTAGTCCTGGTAAACCCATGGGGCATTGTAACTAATATTCTTATTATATTATATTAATATATATAGCAAGGTTTTTTTAATATTAAGATATTCTATATAAATAAATATATATATATATATATACATATATATACTTGTATATCCCGGGTATATCCCCAGTTCCGTCGCCTGCACTTCCCAGGAACCACCGAGTGACATGTGGCAATATGCCAACTTGGAACCTCTAGTTGCCTTGGTGGAGAATGCCATCAATCAAGGCAGGCTGAGTCGTGACCCCCTCATTCCAATTCAAATTACACCCAGTAAAGAGGTGTTTGAGAATGTCCGAGCTCGGTGGGAATACTTTGAAGCATGTTGTCCCCAACGAAATCGAGACATGTGAGATCTAGCTTTCCCAACTGTCCCTAGATGATCGAATCCAGGATCAAAATTCAATGCTGGTCCTTTAGCTTTTCTTGGCCATGATGTGCCAGATTTCAGACCACCTAATTTGGATTTATGGTGCAGCTTTGATTAAAGCTACACTGATCGTGTCACATCGCACATGCTCAAAATAAAATGCGAAGGCTGCAGCGTTCTAGTATGTGTATACCGGTTGTTTGCTGCATTTTTGCAACTGAAACATGTATATGTGCCTATCGTGCTGGTAACTATAGCCATTTTGCTTTCACAGTGTGCAGCTAGCCTTGGATCTTCAGTTAGATCTCGGGGCACAGAGGCGGGGACCTGAAAAATTATATAATTCTGGTTAGGGACATTTCGCGTTAATTTGCGTTAAATTGCGTTAAAGGACGTGCTCACAGAACTATGAGCGTTAAATTGCGTTAAATTGCGTTAATTTCCCGACCTCTGTTTTTCATAGTTTTCCCCTATCAGGTCATGGTGGTGACTGCGCCTACAGCTGCCAAAACACGGCAGCCACCCTTGGTTCCTCATCTGAATAGGGAATCACTGCAGGAAAACTATTGCTTTCAACCATGGAGAGTATGTCCATTATAAATTTGAGGTCGATACCACTCCATGGGGCCACAAATCTTCCTGCCCAGGCACGCTCATCTTCATCAGTTGACTCCTTCCAGGTCGAGGACGAGCTGAACAAGATTGAGAAACGGTTGGGGGTGAAATTTGGTAGCTTGGCTTCTGATTTATTTGGCGCCCATAGGCTACTATCACTCCCTACTGAACCTATTGTGAGGTAACCATGTTTCATTGACCTGGCTAGCCTTGCACAACTACAAAAGCAAACCCTTCCAAACAATAATTTTCAAGACATTTTTTCATGGCAAATCCTAAGGCAAGCCTGTGGCTACGCCATCTCGAGCTTCTACGCCAGTCCCGACCGTGGTTGCAAAGGCCAAGCCCTCTCTGGTGCCACCCCCAAAGGCACATGCTGTTGGCAAACCAGTGACTCGTGGTGGTGGGATGGTGTCGACAAGTGCCAAGTCCACTCCCATCAAGAGCCCTGAACTGAAACGACTTAGAAGGGTCACTGAAGTCTGTGATGTGCATGGTCGTGTCGTCAAGAACTTGGCGACAGAGTTTGACACTGCCATGAATGAGATGCCCCAGTCACAAACAGATCGTGACACTACTGCCATGAATGAGATGTCCCAGTCACAGACAGAATGTGATGCTACTGCCATGGATGAGATGTCCCAGCCGCCCCAGCCAACATCCCCTGGAGGAATGGAGAACACGGTTACTTTGCTGAATAGTTCTAGCTGTTGAATTCTGTAGATCGATAGATTAGTATGATCTGATCTAATATATATATATTATATATTATGATCATGATATCGATATATATATATGATACAACACCGATACCACCCTGTTGCCCCAGAATCTCCTTGGCCACATTTGTAATTCTGACAAGGCTGAAGTTGCAGATGCCGTTGCACCTCCAGCCGGTGATGCAGGGTCCGGAGTCTCTGAAACTGGTAACTGGGCTGCATATAATATATATAGTATATAGGGGCCAGTCATACATGGCACATGCATATTCAACTTTTAGAATTTCATAAGATGGTTTCATTTGACCTAGGCTCTGTGGCAGAACATGCCGATGGCAATAGCGATGGTGGTGAACGACCCTGTGGGATTTCCCGTGATATCACAACGTGCACAACATTGCCGTTGGGTGCTAGTGTGGAGGATCTTGACACGTTTTCGGCAAGATGCCTTGATGTCCCTTTGGTTGGCTTAGTGAAACACATGCCTGCTGATGTTTCCCCAGTGGAATTTCGTGAGGAAGTTCTCTCGTGGGTCAATCGGCGGGTGAAGCTGGGTGACATCACCCGATGTGACCCACAACATGCCGTCACAGTTGGAAACATCGGGGTTTTGGAGCACCAGTTGGCTGACCGGGCCAAGACTTATGGGAACATGAGGGTTGATGTGGATATCCTATCCCAGAAACTGGATGTTGCCAGCAGGGCCATGTTAGGCAGGCAGCAGCAGCGTGCAATGGAGATGTTCCCTGACAAAAACCCCAGGGATACTGAATACTACAAGGTCCATGCCGGAACAATCGCAACCTGGAAGAATGACAAGTTGGCTCCGCACTTGAGCAACCTTCAGGTGTATGAAAAGATAACCAAGGAGATTGAGGGCCAACTTGAGTATTTACTTCAGTGCGTGGTTGACAGTGCCCAGGGCACTGAGGAAACTGTTGATGATGACCTCATGATGGAACTGAACTCACTTTGCACGCAGAAGGGTGCTACACCTGACAAGGCTGGGGTCCTACAAATTTACTATTGGGATCCAATAAATATACAATTTGATGTAAAAAGGAATGTATGTGCTTGATTCCTGAAGGTTGAGCATATATCATATACTATATATATATATAGGTTTCACCACATGGTAGCCCGTACAAGCCCATTTCCACGCTCATCAGGCCATACCAAAGCCAGCCTCTGAAGTCATTGCCAACAATGCTGAGATCAACACTCGCCTGGAGGACCACAAGCAGGTGCACAACTTCCCAGGGTTGGAGGTGCGGGGATGCCCATGGTGAATTGTCCCAAAAAATCCTGTCAGCTAAGCAACACCCAATCAATTCTTCGGAACCCTTTCCACTCCTGCACCACGAGGTGGTGAAGCCAGAGGCTTCTGAACCTCCCACTCCTCACCTTCGCGGACATGTGCAATTGATGAACCGGCTGGACACTACCCAACTTGAGGCTTGTGTCCAAGTAAATGGTAAATCTTGTGCAGTAGGCTCACATATATAAATATAAATTTTAGATATATTATATTAAATTGATTATATTCAAATACTAATAATGTAATCGTATCTTTGTACATGTGCACGTATACGCAATACGAGTCACAGTGTGCATTTTTTGGGAACCATTCGGGTACTGTCAAGGCCCTGGAGACTGTCAATGCTGGTGCTGCGCCGGGGGAAGAACCTGCGCCGGGGGGAGTTGCTGTGAACAGTGGGGATGCGGAGCAGAACCCACCACCACCACCTACTCGAATTGGTCCGAACGGACGGGTTGAAACGGAGGAAGGGTATCAAGCAAGGATGGCCCATAACGCATATATGAGGTTCTCTAGGAGCCTACGTCGAACATTGGTTTGCATTCAGTGTGGCTGCACTGCACTCATGTTTTGGTTGATGGTTTCAGCTAGGTCAGTTGAAGTGTGAAACCCATATTGAGGAAGTGATTGCCCACAGCCTGTGTTGGCCGCCGCAGCGGGCAAACGTCACAGTTGCTTGGCGGCTTGTTCTTTGATTTCTTGATTGCACAATCTTGCACTCAAGCTTTGATACCATCCTATAAATCTTCTACCTTGCTCCCAACTGAGATCGGGCCATCATGGGCCAACTGTATGAAGACTATCTCTCCTCCGGAGAGAACTGGATGGAGAGTTCTCTCATGGTAAATGCAAGCAGGACTTTGACGTCCAGAAGGCGTGGAAAATACAAGCTGACCACCTACCGCGACTTGAAGACCCAGTTTGGGGCAGGGGTAGCAAAGCAGCTCCGAGACAACAAGAAGGAACAGGAACAGGCCAAAGCAGCCACAGATTCCATAATCTACTGGTGTGAGCACCCTGACTTCAAAGGGATGCCGGGGAAGGAGGACAGGGTTGAGAGCTGAAACCAACATGCATTGGTGGTGTGCATGTATGTGTGTGTGTGGGTGGGGGAGTGTGGTATTGAATCTAGCCGATATATAGTCATAATATATATATTATGAATATTTGAATATATATTAATATATCTATCTAGATCTATAACCTCTATCAGCATATATCTCTCTCTAACCGCCCTGAGGACTTTGAACTCGTTCGAGTTTGGGATTCCATGGTCTATGAGGATGAATGTGAGGATGGGCTGTCACTGACGCTGAGTGCTACGGGGAACTTAGATGCATCGCAAACTCGACAAGCTCTGCATCTTGGTTGGAAATGGCCTATTGGTCGCTGCCACCAAAAAAATACAATAAAACATGATCATATTAATTATATTTTATAAAACACATTCCACTGATCCCCATTGGTTGAAAAACTTTGAGTTGACATCGGAAATCAAGGATGTCCAAATGCATATGTTTTGTCATCACTTTCCACCAGGCAGTTGGCCACCGGTTCTGAGATTGGCCGGCTCCACTCTGGGGCACTGGGGCTCCACGCTGATGCAGCGGGAAATCCACAAACCGGGGCTGGTGGGCCTGACAATGCTGACCGTCGTGAGAAGAAGGCTAAGAAACCCCAAAGTATTCAAAAGCAAGTTGCAGGAAAAATCTCAATGCTCAGTGGAAAGACCGCCGAGATTATGTCATGGGATGCCAAAGTCAAAGACTCTGATAGACTGTTCCTTGACTTTCAGACTCCATTAAAAATCAACCATATATTATCATATATTATATTTTTTTTGGAGGGTATCCTGTGAATTTTCTGGTGTATATGAATGTACTTTCTCAGCTGAAATTATTCGAAGTATGGGTATGTTAACATGTTTTATTGCCCCTGCCCCTGCAGTTCTTGATACGGAAATTGAATTTCAGTTATGGGGCCTACAACTCCACCATACGTTACCCAGTTGATAAACTCAATGGTTCCTAGAAAAATCCTCCCGTTCTGAAATTCAGGTCTGCTACTTTGAAGAATGGGTTTACCCAGGAGCTGAATGCCCGCAATTCGTCGTTGGCATCTGCCAAGTTGGAGCTGGAAAACCTGTATGGGGAAAATCTTGAGGATTTAAAAGACCGGCCGGAGATTATTGCCAGGGTTGATGCCGCTCTGAGAGCTTGTGAAGCTGCAGTCACCAGCTACACTGGCACATTGCGTTCCATCAAGTTGTCGATCGAAACTTGATTTAACAACAACTACTGCCATGTATATATATGATATCCGATCAATTCATGCTTTGAATTTTGAAGGGTGTAACATGATCAGTGATCTGAAAAGTCTTTTCTTTGTTGACTGCCTGTTGCCTTAGGATCCACCGGTCCCACGACCGAAAACGGCCGCCAAAGCCAAAGCCAAAGCTTTGGCAGAGCCTGCGGAGTGATGATGATGCACTGATGCAGCGGCATCTGAGCCTGATGGGAAATCTGGAGAGTAGCTAGCAGCTAGATAACTCTGGGAGAAGCTGGGGGAAGTTGGTGGATATGTCCCAACAAGTTCAACTTCACCATACTTCACCAAATTATATTTGCCCCAACAAATTCAACTTCAATGTTCCGAAGTATTTTGATACATTAATGTTAGTTATATCTGTTCCATCATATGTTGAATAAAATGTTCGCTGTTTCAATAAAGACTTTTTGTTGTTCCATCCAGCTCCCAGGGTACATTTTGACCAATGGTGGCCAACACAACCGGTTCTGTACAACATGGTACTTGAACCACGCTGATGTGTGTAGGGGCTCGCCAACTCAAGAGTTGAGGCCAATTTGGCCATGTGGGGTTAACTTTGATTTGCCACGCTTGGTGTTAGCCGGGGTGAATATTGTCTGGCAATAGCGTGAACATCCTGGACCCAGGCAAGCAATCAAAAAATGCACATGGTGCGGATTGAACATATTTCTGGATTTGGGTGATGCCTAGGGGAAATAAAACTGTAAACCCATACGTTGTGATATACCCACTGGCCAAAATTAATAACCCCAAGGATGAATTTGAGTAAGTGGGATATAACCCCCATCAAGTGCTCCCAATTGCCAGGCCATGATCACATCCCTCCACCAATTGGGCTTCCCATCGCAGGTGCTGAAACGATATCACCACTTTCATGCTTCCTCCTGAAGGAGAGCGGATTGGGAGATGCTCGGTTGCAAATAGCATTGATCAGTGGCTAATTAATGGGGAAAAGTTGGAACTTCTGCAAAAGATCATATGCATATGATTTGGATGTCTGACTAAATAAGGATGCTTCGTTCCGGAAAGCCCAAGAGACTTTGCACTACGTCGCCAAGGACCACAGCTGGTGAACAAGAATTTACGATATCGATATTACCACTTACCTTGGCCTAAAATCAATTAATGTTAGTTGATAGCAATGACCCTGTGCTAGGAGATTGAGTGGCAGGGATTGGGGCCATTGCGTGGCATATGTGCTTCTCTTCAGAGCGCTGGTTGTGGGGGGAAGCACCGACAAAATATCAAACGGGATATGCTGCGCAAGCTGGAGGCCAAGAACCCGGATGCCCATGTGTCCTGGATTAATGATTGGGATAAAAAAACAGTGATTGCCATACCTGATCCAATTTGCATTTGACTTTTTTGTTAGTAAGGTTCCGATCGATCGAGTTGATGTTCCTCTATATGAGCTGTGTGAGGATGGGAGCTATGACATCAAAAACAGGTCCGTATGAAACACTTGAAGAGTCGAAGATGTTATGTTGGAACATTTCAGAACACCCCAATTGATTAGAGCTACCAGCCAGCCACTGCCAGGCAAATGCCGGTGATCCTCCCACACCGACTGTTTCCATGGATGATGCAAGCTGGATTTTGGCCAAAGCTGGGGGAAAACAGTATTCAACAGTACTGGCAGCACTTAAAGGATGTTGGTTCACCACTGAGTTCAATGAGTGATGATGGTTGCCATATACCCCTCTACTTGTGGGGTGATGGGGCACAATATACGGAGAGTGGTGAAAGCATGTCAGCATTCTGCTGTGGAATCGTTGTGGATGACAACCGGTCGAACATCTTCCCGCTATTTCTCTGCAAAGAAGAACCTCGAATGAATTACTTATTACCAAACACTGCTTAGCTGGAATCTTCAAAAAATGAAAACAATATCCTTTTGAGTGGTCGACGTCTCTACCATAAGGATTTGAGCACTGGATCTGACACCCTGTGGGCATTTCTTGACCCAGTCCCTTGGCGGCAACTCACTCCTTCAAAGTCAGACTTCCGAAGCCACCCACTTGAAGACCTGCCAGTTCAAAAGCAGGGTGGTGTTGTCCTCATCATTTCAAACCCAGCTCAGGTGGTGAAATCCTTCAAAGATCTATATGATGGGTTGCCAGCAAGTTCAAGTTCCCAATCGCCACCCTTGAAGTTTGTGGTTACCGAGATCAGAGGAGATTGGAAATACTTGGTGGACACTTGTAAACTATTTGATTGGACTGGGGATAAATAGCTTCCCAAAAGATGAGAGGAATATTGTACTCCGATGGTAAATATTGCTGGCCCCTTATAGCTAAAGTGTGCCAGTCTGTCTCCACTTAGGAGATCCTGCAACTCAGCCGATGGTACCGGTGCTCTTACATTTGCCATCGATGCTGGGCCCACAAGGACACCTACATGTGCAGCCCTGCCCAACTTGAAAGTAAACAACGATGTTCCGATGAGGATTTTTTCCGAATATCAGTGAAACCTGGGGAAAGATGTTACTTGGCATATTAGAATATCCAAGTTAAATTTATTCCCCACATGCCAGGTGAGGGTTGTTAGATTTTATCAGAGTTGTTCTTCTCCTCCTTCTCCTCTTTCTTCTTCTTCTTCTCCTCCTCCTTCTCCTCCACCACCTCTGCCTCCACTTCCATGTCCACTTCCGCCTTGCCAACTCTTCGCCAGATAGAATGCCAGAAGGTATGCCAGAAGATATGCAAGAACATATGCCAGATAGAATGCCAGAAGGTATGCCAGATAAAGTGCCAGAATATTTGCCAAATAGAATGCCAGAAGATTTGCCAGATAGAATGCCAGATAGGGTGTCAGAAGATATGCCCAGAAAATATGCCAGATAGAATGCCAGAAGGTATGCCAGATAAAGTGCCAGAATATTTGCCAGATAGAAATCCAGAAGGTTTGCCAGATAGAATGCCAGATAGGATGTCAGAAGATATGCCAGATAGAATGCCAGATAGAATGCCAGAAGATATGCCAGAAGATATGCCAGAAAATATGCCAGATAGAATGCCAGAAGATATGCCAGATAAAGTGCCAGAATATTTGCCAGACAGAATGCCAGAAGATTTGCCAGATAGAATGCCAGATAGGATGTCAGAAGATATGCCAGATAGAATGCCAGAAGATATGCCAGAACATATACCAGAAAATATGCCAGATAGAATGCCAGAAGGTATGCCAGATAAAGTGCCAGAATATTTGCCAGACAGAATGCCAGAAGATTTGCCAGATAGAATGCCAGATAGGATGTCAGAAGATATGCCAGAAGATATGCCAGAAAATATGCCAGATAGAATGCCAGAAGATATGCCAGGTAGAATGCCAGAAGATATGCCAGATCGAATGCCAGAAGATATGTCAAATAGAATGCCAGAAGGTTTGCCAGTAACAAATCGATAAATGTCTTGGTGGGGATCACACGAAGTAAAGTATTTTTTATCCCGTCCATTTTTATGTGTCTTTCAGCCACTAGTTCTTTATAACAGTCCAATTTAACTTCGAATATGACTAAGGGCACCAGGCCCTAGTTTTTGAAGAAACTAGTGGTCCCATCTTGATATGAAAATTTTCCTTTTTGGATGGTTATTATGCTAGATCAGCCAGTCCACAGCACCCAAGGTCCAATCTTCCAGCTACCAAGATGGATTCCGCAGTGCATCCGGTTTGACTCTATGCATGTCTTATGCCTTGGGGTCGACCTGCTGGTGGCCGGGAATGTTATTAAAACTTTGTTGGGCTATGGCTTCTGGGGTGATGGTGAAGAAGACCAACAACTCTTGGTTGGATGGCAGCTATTCAAACAATGGGCCAAAAGAATGGGGTGGCAGCCACCTGACTGCTTAGAAAGGATTATGCCTCAATTGAACTTCAAATATGTGGGTCAATAGTCCCATTAAAAATAGTGCATGCCAATCAAATGCCATGCAACTGAGGCATTCAGTCCCACGTTTCTGCCCAAAGCGCTTGAAATCGAATCAGCATCCTTATCCCGAATTACAATCAAAGGCATGGAATGTACCTTGGTCATGATTTAGCTGTTACCCAAATGATGCATGACAAATTATAAAATCAATATATATTAAGATAATGCATCCCTGTTTAAAACACCAAGTTAAACCCATGCAGCTTGGCATGATTTCCCCAAACATGTTGAGATAGCAGTGCCTTTATCTAGATAGTTCCACTAAGGGTCGAGTCGTGATTGCATGGCTATCTGATGCTCTTCAAGACTATGCCAAAAGGGCCCCTGATGATATGCAATTAAAAGCCATGCAGGTTTGCACGATACTCGGCAATCAAAGTTCGTTGATCTTGTGAGCCTCATCGATCACAATGCCAGAGAAGTAGATGCCATGAGCCTTTGCAACTGGGACTTGTCCTTCTCGACAATATCATATGTTGTCAAGACCAGTGTCTATTCACGCCACCTTGTCCCATTCGACACGGGGGTCCATCACTAACCCAGCTGGAACTCCCTGGCCGCGGGGGTAGTATGACTCAAAGCCTTCATCGATTGCAACAGGCGGGGCTCATGCCACCTTTCGGCGCCCCCAGTTGTTGAAACATGTTGGGATCCATCCGGTCCACATCTGGGGGCGCCGCCAAAGAATTGTTAGCCGGCACCAAGTCTAATAGGTCTGTCAGGTCTTCAAACTCGTTGATCAAGTTTCCCTCCCATCTTGGGAGTTGTCCAGTTCCAGCATGGTTGAGCTGGGCTCAGTCTGGGATGGCATCCTCGAGCTCATTCTCGCAAGAATTCCAATTAAACTAATTCCACATCACTACCCCCCCACATTTCGGAACCCAACCGCCTCGCGATCGTGATTGAGGACTGAACTTGCCAAATTTCACAGAGTTGGAGAGCTGAATGAACGATACCTCAGCAAGTGCGTGGTGGAGAGGATGTCACGCTTTTGCGAATCTTGTTAGCAACATTTTTTTGTTGGGCATCTAGACCACAAGTTGGATGGGCCAAAGCATATTTTTTGGCATGGCTGATCACTATCCCCAGGACCGAAGTATGAGTGCCTACATCGAGCTGGCCAACAAATCTCTGGAGAAGAAAGAGCTCGCCTGGCCTTCCCGGCCAAAGTTCCATGTGCCTCGTTTTTTTTTCTTAAACCGTTACCACATGTCAATGGTTCATTTGGTTAGGGGGTCCAACATCGTGCTGGTCATCTTGATTTGGTATCCTTAATTTTAGAGATAAGTGTTACGATCTATAAACCAGTACATGGAAATTCAAATATGATCACACCGGTACCAATACTACTATCGATATGATGAACATAAACTGATCATAGTTCATATTTTTGATGTTTCTTCTGCATCCCAGGCATGGCAGGAAATTTGCCAATTGCAACTCGAGGACAGTATCTGGGCTGAATTGAAAACTTAAAGGCAAATCCAAACAGATCACTATCTTCATCTCAAAAAGGAACTGCATGATCCACAAGCCACATAGAACCAAGGATTGAATCACAGGCTTTCTGCCGGGTGGCATTTGGAAGACTTTGTTGGTAAGTTGATGACTTCCCTTTGCATATCCCAGACAGCTGCGTTGGAAGAATCTGGCTTAGTACGATGGTATATGGGGTTACTTGGATGCATATGATACTGACCCATCTATAATCATCTATATATGTGGGTGTGTAGATGGTATTGCCCTACTGATCTCTGAGGCTTTCTGCCCAAAACAACCTGAACAAATTCGATGCCCAAGTCTGAGCTTCCAGACATGAGCCCGATGACTGCAAAACCGCACTGATAGAGTGCTGATGAGCAAAATGAATGCCGGCCACGCTGATTGACCAGGGTGGATGGGTGTTTATTTCCAACAAATACCACATGATCATGACAGGGTCTAACGCGTTAAATTCTATAGTTTCACCAGGCTAACCTTGGGGCTCATAGTTGGTGAGAGGCGCCGTGGGCCCCAGACACTCTGTCACACAGTACTTGGGAGCTGTAGGGTATGGATAATCTATGGATAATCTATGGATAATCTATGGATAATCTATGGATAATCTATGGATAATCTATGGATAATCTATGGATAATCTATGGATAATCTATGGATAATCTATGGATAATCTATGGATAATCTATGGATAATCTATGGATAATTATGACTTATCTTATTATGGGAATCCAACTTTATTATCTATGGATATTTGGATGGTTACCCTCTGGTTATGACTAACAGTTCGCCATGGAAAATTGCCAGCCATTTTTAAAATAGGTAAACCATCTATTTCTATGGGCCATTTCCCATGGCTACGTTAAATAACTGCAGGGTAAATAGCATATTAACAGATGCAAAATGATGTAAATATCGCATCTATTTAGGGGTTGCATGGGGTACTCTTTGGTTGGTGCCAAAATGATATGAAAGAAAACACTAACCACTCTATGCTTTTCGGCAAGTTCTTGCTTTCCGGCAAGTTGAAAAGTTGAAAAGTGGTCGCATATCATCAGTTCTTAGAAAAATGTGATACACAAATCCCACGCATTCACCTCGTTTCAGGAGACACCGATGAGATCTGGTTGGTGGTATACCTACCCCTCTGAAAAATATTAGTCAGTTGGGATGATTATTCCGAATACATGCAAAAATAAGAAATGTTCCAAACCACCAATCAGAGATTCATATAGTCAGACCAACCGACCTACATTTTCCTGCAACTTTCCCGCGTTTTTTGGTGGCATTTCCTACCCCCGTTCGGTCCCCGAGCGGTGTTGAAAGTGATCAAGTCCGGTTGTAGCCGGTGGCTGGGCATCTCCTGTTGCACCGCGGTCGCAGTTTTGGGGCTCCAAATTTGGAATTTAGTCGGGTGACCTTCCAATTGCACGTGGCTGGAAAAAAAATGAAAAAATACCTTCATAGCCTTCATATCCCATTCCTTAAGTATAAAAGATGATTTTGTTCACGTTAAACCTGGATGTCCATTTCATTCCAAGTATCAAAAACCTCGATGATCGGCCTCCAACATGGCCAAAGCGCTCTGGCCATCTTGGAGCGTGGCAAAGAGTTTCAGTTGGGTATTGCAGGTGACCTCGAAACGGCAGGTCAAGAAACCTTCGAGAATCTAGGAGAAAACATGTGAGATAGATAGATATATATATATATGTATGTATATATATATATATGAGATATATCAATGATATATAACATATAATAATGATCCATTTTAATGATAATTTCATCATGAATCTATGTATATAATGTATGGTAACATATGATAACATATGAGAATCTATATGATCACCTATCTTCAATATAAAAATAGATCATCATAGAACGTATCGAACTAGCAACCACCAGGGATTTTGGAGTCATTTTGAGTATTGGGGGGCACTTGCTGGCAGCCCAGACTCCTTGGCTGTCTCAAATATATGTCTCGACATTGAATCATCCCATTCATTAAGTGTGTATGTCCAGTGTGATTGGTCTTATCCCGACTTTAATTCCTGAAATCATCTTGAATCTTCATGTTGGGTCAATAATTCTGAGCCAAACCCACGGCTCAGCTTTCGAAACCGACCTTTTTTCAGGGAATCTGATGCGCTGCATCCAAGGCGCTAAATTCGGCGCTATGCGCCTCCCAGTAGCAGGGTGACGACCGATCAACCCTGACATTTTTTTGGAATACCCTCTGGTAATTTAACATAGCTATTGAAAATCACCATTTTTAATGGGAAAATCCACTATTAATGGTCATTTTCAATAGCTATGTCAAATTACCAGAGGGTACCCCAAAGAACAGTGATCATCAAAATAGATCCAAATAGTGTAGGCTATGGAGTCCATGTCCGAAAGCTTGTTGTCTTCTTGGTGGAGTCAAGCGAGACAATGAGATGTGCCAAAACAGCACCAAACTGCAGGATTTCTCGGATGGAAACAGTGATCATCACCATCTCGATGGAATCTACCATGGTACCAGCCAGGTGACCGGGGCACAGCACAGCCCACCTGTCAGTCATTTCCTCTAGGAAGCAGCGGGCCGCCTCCCCCTGGATTCAGATAGCAAGAGAAGATGGTAGTTGGTCTTACCGCCAAGCAGAAAATGATCTGCACAAGAGTAGCATTCCACCCTTTTTTTATCCTTAGGGAAGGGCTAAAGTCTAACGACCAATAGGTGGAGGCTGCAATTCAATGGGATGAACGACAAATTGTCGTCAATATGCGATCTCGGATGACTTTCAACCACTACTGTGATTTTGATTCGGTGTTCATGCAGTGGTTTTCAAAGCACCATTCCTATCCTGCTCCGGGGTATTCCAGATCAGCACCCCAAACTGCCAAGTGTTGGATGAAGAAGTTCAGTGGTATATGGTATACCACTGGAACTTGGTGAATTCTCGTGGAACAGCAGGATTTTGATGTTCTTGAAAGGACCCCTCAACGGTCCAACGGGCTGTGCAGCGAATGCATTCCACATGTTTTTTGGCTACTTACTTATCTTTTTCATATGCACACTTGCAATTTCAATGATTCTAGCGTCCAATCTATCCAGAACTTGCTCTTCTTTTCTCCCCCAATGAGAAACTGGCGGTATTTCCAGGAGTTTGCCATCTTGTCAGTTGTTCAATAGATTACTCTATTATACTATCATAGATTACATACATTTATTTTAACATTACTATTCCATGGTAAAACATGGTAAAACTATCTATAAGTGGTTGGTGACTTGATAGCCAATGATGGAAACTCAGTCGCGCTGCGCCTCTCCAGTCGCCGCACAGGCGTTCAAGGCAGCATTGAAGCTGACCTGAAAAGTAGTAGCTGCTGATCACATATGAAATACGCACATGTGAGGCGAAAGGATTACATGTATATGTATACATGTATATTATATATATACATAATTATACATATGTTTGTATGCAATGCAATGCAATGCAATGTAATGTAATGTAATGCAATGTAGTGTAGTGTAATGTAGTGTAATGTAATGTAGTGTAGTAGTGTAATGTAATGTAATGTAATGTAATGTAATGTAATGTATGTATTTTAATGTAATGTAATGTAATGTAAATGTAATGTAATGTAATGTAATGTAATGTCTGTCTGTCTGTATGTCTGTCTGTCTGTCTGTATGTATGTATGTATTTTAATGTAATGTAATGTAATGTGATGTAAATATTATGTCATGTATGTCTGTCTGTCTGTCTGTCTGTCTGTATGTATGTATGTATGTATGTATGCAAACTTGACCAATCTATACATATATATATACATATACTTAGGGCTGACTTGGCCTGCAATGCATTCACAATAAATAAGTATATATATAAATATAATATATACGAAATTTAGCTACATGGATATACATGGATGATATATGATGGCAGAAACATCAACAGAAGGCAGCTTGGGTGTCCAGACCACATCCGGTTGCACCTCAACTTCCGTCATCTCCTCAAACACCGGTGGCAAGCACTGGGATATCACTGGTGTAAGCAGTCAGAAAAAAAAAAAAAAAACAGCAACAAGAGGGACTGACAAATATCAAGGCTACTATCCTGCTGTTTATAATAATCCTGAAATATAATTATAGAATGTGTGTATATATATAAATATTGTATATATATATTGTATATATATACAGTAAATACATCCCGATGTCAGTGCTTTGATCATATTCCAATTAAATTCGGGCTGGCTCACTTTTACATTCTATCTCCTCCTGCATGGGTAAAAACATACTCGCAATGCTCATTCAAGCAGCACATCACTTGACCAAGCTTCACCCCTCAATCTCTCCCAAGCTGCCATATAGCCAGCATTTCAGCAGATAGACCCTCCAGCAATTTTCCACGTGGCAATGGAAAATCTCCCATTTCTAGATAATTTTCCCATAAAAATCCCCCATTTCTAGATAATTTTCCCATAAGAACCTCGATTGAGTGGGGATTTTCCAGCCACGCTTGATGACACCGGAGGAAAAATTTTTGGATCGAAAACAACCACAGGCAGTGCGAAATCCTGGCCCTGTCGAAGGTCCTGGAAGAGCCGCAGGGAACACCTCGCATCAAGTGACCTTGGAGCGGAAGTGCCACTGGATGCCCTGTGGCTACAACGGATGGGACTTCCAAAATGGGGTATCTGGGGTCCAGCAACTGGAAGATGTGGTGGCTTCGAGGGATCGAATCTCCTACAGGATGTGTCATGAAATTCCAAAAAATCTCACCAGTTAGACCCAATTTTTTGTTGATCCAATCCCATGACATCCCCATTGAAATGTGGGTTAATTAGGGTTAATTCACCATCAACCCCCCGTGAAATCCCAAAACTTCGGACTTCCCAGGACGATTCTTGGGCTTCGCAAGGACCAAGTCTCCCAGCGCGCCCAGCGCAGTGTTGAAGCTGATGGCATTCCTAATGCGACGGACGCGCGGGGAGCCATATGAATTGTGGGGATATTCCCTTACATAGGCCTGAAACATATAGGCCAAAAATATATGGTAGGCACCTCCAATCAATCGGTTCCTGAAATGGCCATTGAAAGTATGTAAAGTGATTTACCTATTGAAAATGGCGATTTAATGGGATTTCATCAACAAGTACAAAGACGTATGGGGATGTATTGGGATTTAACCAACAAACATGGTGATATACTGGGTTTTAACCACCAAATATGGGGAGATAGTAGAAATAAATCGAAATATTCTGGGATATAATTTGATATTACCAACAATTCGTATGCTGATTGGTGCCTGAGCCACCATCCGATCTTAAAAAACTGATCGTCAATTGGCATCATCATCCCTTTTTTAGGCTTTTCACATTAAATCCAGTATGAAACATAGCAATGTTTTTCAGCAGAACGTCATAAGTGATTTTTTGTTGCCAGGCAGGAGATATGTTGCTTCACCTTTTTTTGGGTCGTAAACCACAGGTACCATTTTGGGTAGTTTTCAGATTGGTTGAACTCCCCAGAATATGAGGAATATGAAGCCAGGAAACGGCTGGAGCCGCACCTTCGGCAGCTCATGCAACCTCATGGCACCAATTTTCCCACGAAAAAATCGCGGATGATACGGTGGATGGCTGCGAAATCCCAATCACCAGTTGAAAACGGTGGTAAAGATCCCATTATTTTGTTTGGGTTTCAACCATCCAAAATTGGTGATGCAGGATTTCGCTAAACCATCCATGGTATCACCAGTGTTTGGCATTTCAAGTGACTGTGGAGAAGTGAGATCACTGGTTGTATCTTATCCAGCAATGAATTGGTTGGACACATGCACTGCTTGGACATACACTGACTCATCAGGGGTATATACCTTTGAATACATAAGTAGTGTTACGAATGAAATCCATGTAGATAATGTCAGGATGAATACACTTCTAGTTTAATCATAGCGGTACAAGTTTTGCCACCAGAAGTTTTGCTATTTTCCAAACCAACCCTGATATCCCTGATCAACACACGGGTTTGTGAATCCATGTCCTAGGTTGACTTTGTAATTTCTCAACATTTTGGGTGCCCTTCGATTTCGATTTCGAAACGACTCGACTTGAGCTGCGAGCAGTCGTTCTGCCTCCCCTGGTAAGGCTGCCTCACGGCTGGGACCCAGCAAATTATGATCATGTTGAGGGCCCACCGAAAATTTCCATCAACTTTTCTTTGTGTCCAAGGTTTCGGGGTCTTTTGTGTTTCGGATGTCCTGTTGTGTCCGTTTGGCTTCTATGGTTTTCCATCATTTTCATCCTGGTTCTTTGGATGATCTTTGGATGAAAACACCTGGAAAAATCCTCAAACATCCACCATTTGGCGGTCGGTCCGAGGATTTCTCGAGGCCTTTGCAAAGGCTTTCAGTAGCGAGTTGTAGCTGACGATGGTCGGCAGCACCTGCGATTTTCGCCACACCAAACGATGAAAAAATCCTTTGGAACCTGGGTGAACCCAGATTTCTGGCTGGTCATTTCTGTTTCAACATGTTTCTTGCCCATCTTTTTGGGGCTCCTTTTTGACCAGACTTCAGACTTCAAGAAACAACAGACGATTTAGGTCCTATTTTTCACTGCAGTTGTTGTAAATTATTGGCCAAAGAATTTTTGGGGCTTTGATACTTTGGCCAAGCAAGTTTGGTAGTATTGATCCAAATAGACTGAACTTGAAATTTCATTAAGTTGGGATTCATTAAAAGTGTGGGTCTGTTGTCCATCCTTATACATGCAGATCCCCTGAATCGTTAAAGAATTCTCAAAATTGTGAATCAACCAGATGTGATGATAAAACAAAGAAGTAGTGGGTCCCATGACACTTTCATTCAGGTGGCAACATCAGAAAGGCACATCAACAGCTGAGACCATCCAATCTGAACAACACAAGTCGCGCCCGGGCAACGTCGGCTTTTTTGCAGCGTTCGGCTTTCTTGCAGCGTTGAGGGCGGCGCTCCCTCAACAAATCTTGGGCCGCTAGACCCAATTCTATCATCGGGCGATGTCGGGTTTGGGTCATTCAGT